GACCCAGACCAAGACCCAGACGGGACCGAGAGGAGGGGGGGGTCCAAGGAAACCACCTCTGGAACAAAACTCAGAGGAGGAGGAGGAGGAGGAGGAGGAGGAGGAGGAATTCCATGATCCGGGGAAACCACCTCTGACCAAACCTCTGCTGGAACATTTAACTCCAGAAATGAAAGAAACGACAGAGCAGAGAGAGAGAGAGAGAGAACGAGGGAGGAGGAGGAGGAAACCACAGAGAGGAGGAAGGGGGGATGAAAGAGAAAGTTGAGAAAGATACAGAGAGAAGAAGAAGAACAAAGAAGAACAACATGATCTGAGAAAATATTCAACTCCACAAGAAAAAGACAGAGAGAAAGAAAGAGAAAGAAGAGAGAAAGAGAGAGGGAGCGAGGGAGTGTGAGACTGATGGAGAGAGAGAGAAAGAGAGAGGGAGCGAGGGAGTGTGAGACTGATGGAGAGAGAGAGAAAGAGAGAGGGAGCGAGGGAGTGTGAGGCTGATGGAGAGAGAGAGAAAGAGAGAGGGAGCGAGGGAGTGTGAGACTGATGGAGAGAGAGAGAAAGAGAGAGGGAGCGAGGGAGTGTGAGGCTGATGGAGAGAGAGAGAAAGAGAGAGGGAGCGAGGGAGTGTGAGGCTGATGGAGAGAGAGAGAAAGAGAGAGGAGCGAGGGAGTGGAGGTGATGGAGAGAGAGAGAGAGAGAGGGGAGGCGAGGGAGGATGAGGCTGATGGAGAGAGAGAGAAAAGAGAGGGGAGCGGGAGTGTGGGTGATGGAGAGAGAGAGAAAGTCGTGGAGAAGAATCATGTTTAATCACAACGTGACAAATCACAAAACGACTTCCACTTCTGTTTGGACGCCACATAAAAACTACAAACTAAACCAAAAACACCAACACGACGGAGCTCGGAAAAGAAACGAGAGAAGAAGAAGAGAGAGAAGAAGAAGAGGAGGAGAAGAGGAGGAGGAGGAGAGGGAGGAGGAGGAGAAGAGGAGGAGTTGTGTAATTTGGAGTAAATAAATCTGTCAAAGGATCAAACGTGTGAAAGAAACAAAAACAGAAACACGACACACGAAGACACAGAACAACAACTCACACAATACTCGATACTCGATACTCGATACTCGATACTCGATACGATCCTGGGGTCATGATGAGAAACAAAAAGGTTTGAGTCGTTTGTGCAGAAAGTGAAAAGTTTGATTTTATAAAAAGAGTAAATGTGTTTGTCGTGACGCTGCTCAGACTGAAGCAGAGATTCTGTTTGACTCAAGAAAAACTGAAACTGACCAACGACAAAACGTCACGAAAAAATAAAAACAACACGACTAAAATAAAAACACGACTAAAATAAAAACACGACTAAAATAAAAAATAAAAAAAAAACTAAAATAAAACACGACTAAAATAAAAAACATGTGACTAAAATAAAATAAAATAAAACACGTCTAAAATAAAAAAACAACACGACTAAAATAAAAAAACACGTAAAATAAAAACACGCTAAAATAAAAAAATAAAAAACAAAACACGACTAAAATAAAAAAAAACACGATAAAATCCTAAATAAAAACACGACTAAAATCTAAAATAAAAAAACACGTAAAACACGACTAAAATAAAAACACGCTCTAAAATAAAACACGACTAAAATAAAACACGACTAAAATAAAACACACTAAAATAAAAACAACTAAAAAAAACACGACTAAAATAAAAACACCACTAAAATAAAAACACGACTAAAATAAAAACACGTAAAATCTAAAATAAAAAAAACGAAATAAAAACGACTAAAATAAAAACACGACTAAAATAAAAACACGACTAAAATAAAAACACGACTAAAATAAAATAAAAAACACTAAAATAAAAAACATAAAATAAAAACACGACTAAAATAAAAACACGACTAAAATAAAAACACGACTAAAATAAAAACACGACTAAAATAAAAACTAAAATAAAAACACGTCTAAAATAAAAACACGAATAAAATAAAAACACCACTAAAATAAAAACACGACTAAAATAAAAACACGACTAAAATAAAAACACGTCTAAAATAAAAACACGACTAAAAAAAAAAATAAAAACAACACGACTAAAATAAAAACACGTCTAAAATAAAAACACGACGTCTAAAATAAAAACACGACTAAAATAAAAACACGTCTAAAATAAAAACATGTGTAAAATAAAAACACGACTAAAATAAACATTAAAAACACGTCTAAAAAATAAAAAAAAACACGACTAAAATAAAAACACGACTAAAATAAAAACACGTCTAAAATAAAACGTAAAAAAACTAAAAAAATAAAAAACACGACTAAAAAAAACTAAAATAAAAACTAAAATAAAAAACACGACTAAAATAAAAAAACAAAACACGACTAAATAAAAACACGTCTAAAATAAAAACACGTTTAAACGACTAAAAAAAACACGACTAAAATAAAAACACGACTAAAATAAAAACACGTCTAAAATAAAAACACGACT